TTTTACTCTTTCCATCGCAGTAGGGTGGCAACAGTTGAATGAGACACCTGTTTACAAGCTGACGATCCCTGATAATAATTTGTTTCCATCTGTTGAATTATTTGAGGAGAGATATTAACAGCACTTGCAGCCCAAGTATAGATCCTCGAGCGTCTTTGGTTTGAAATTTTAAAGATTCCAGATCTGGTGGGTGGCACTGGTTGGGTCCTCAGCATCTGCCTTTTATTGGACATTTTGGCAGTGCTATAAGTGAGCAACAGTCGCCAGGAAAGCAAATGTATATTATCGAACTAAGGTTCGTGATCATTACTTGTTAATTCCATGCGTGGACTGATCGGGAAAAACATGGCTGAAATGACGTGTATAGATGGCAAAAATCAAGGGTGGAAAATGCTGACTGGCTCCCACTTTTACATTAATCGATAATACTGAAGATGTCGGTTGGTCAATTTGCTTGTTTGATTCGTTGGTTGACTACTGTGTTAGATATAGACACATCGATATTGGTGATGATGGGAAGTCTTTGGGGCTGGAAGGGCAACGGGGTTTTTATTGGAAACGAGAACAGAAAATTAAAATCGGTGTGCTGTAGGTATTTTGCAAATCTCCATCGTTGCATTCATGAAATATAACATTCTTACCTGAATGGAAGGCGAATGCATGAATGACATCTTGAGAAAGTGGTCCAATAGCGTGTGCCTCGACTGGTTTTTCCAAAAGTGTGTGAGTCGATCACTTCCAGGAATTCATCCACGGGATGAGTAGGCCTACTGCGGCTGCTGTTATCGCACGACAAGCTATGATGTCCAGAATTTATCATGTACTACTGTGTTGATGTTGCGGTTGGCAAGAGTGTTGCCGCACGCGTACTGTTTACGTATTGTGTGGTGCGTAACTAGGTTTCGAACATTCTTTGTTTTTACTCAGACTAATGTGTTTAGACGCGTTAACACCAAAGATTGTATCCGGTTCGTAAGTGACTTCGTCACAAAGGCAGACGCGCCATGATTTTCAGGCTCTCATTGGTCAATCACTGAAGTTGCGCGTTAACTTCCGGTTCCATGTAAACGGCGATCAATGCGTGTATGTGCAGCCACTTGTGCAGTAGGCGTGGTTTAAACTGAAGTGACGTCACACTTACGAACTGGATAGCACGTCCTAATATCGACAAGAGTACAATATCAAATCAGTGCTCTGAAATATGTAGCAATCACATATTTCAGAGCACTGATTTGATATTATATTTTTGTCGATATTCTGATCACGGTGCTACGCAGACTTTCCATATTAGCATGTCTCATTTGCGTCATTTGGAGCATGCGCATATTAGCTTAAACTGTGACGCAAACGAGGGAAAAGGGAAGGTATGTGTGCTGCCTTAAAGCACCTCCAACGTCTTTTGTTTGTCACGAACGTCACAGTAATGTGCAATCGTCATAGAGCTGCATTTAAAAACTAGAGCGCTGACTCGTACGAAGTTGCCTGCTGCGCGCATCCATGTTACAATGCACCAATCTTCATTGGAGGGCTGATCATTATCCCATCCTTTGAAAATCTCCATCAGTTTCTGTCAGCGTATTGAAGAATTTTTGGGGCTATGCATATGAATCACCTACATCCTTCGAAATCAGCCTTACATCTTAATCGACATACAACAAGTCCTTCCAACTTGTTTACTCGTGCAAGTTTATTAGGCAGAAATTTCCTGGATTTGGGAAGGGAGGGGAAGGCGCTGTTGTACTCTGTTGGTGACAAGAGAAAAAAAAGCCTGGCGGAGGATTACTCCCTCCCTAAACTCATCCTTACGATATATTCCTCCCAAGGGGAAACAAACACCGTGACAAATTTGTACTATACATTTGAGTTTTTGTCTCACGACAGTTCTTATTAAAGTCATGATTTTTTAAAAAATTTAACTATTTCTGACTGTAGACACATAGAATGGAAACACGATGAGGGGAATATCATTCTCACATTCATACACACATTTAAAGATACATCACACTGAAACTAAACATTTCTGGTTCCAAAATGAAAACAACTTTAATGCATTTATCCGAAACTGTATATGACAGTATGCGCAACAGTGAAAGGTGAACTACAGAGCTTTGGAGGTTGTTGAATTCCTGATATTTTCTTTTCAGGATGACGAAATCCTACAATTTTGATAATTTATCACAGGATGAGGACATCGTCGAAGTTGGATGACGACATCCCGAGATAAATTCTGTGACGTGGACATCACATTTGCTGGGTGTCGTCATCCCGTGATATTAATTAATTATCGCAGGATGTTGACAGCTTGCCTGTATTATGCCATCATCCCAAGAAAAAAAAAGTCAGGATCTCATCAAGTTGGATGGCACTTCCAGAGCTCTGTAGTTAACAGCGGCAGGTAATAATACAAGCAAATTTAAAAACAAAACTGTTCTCACCTCGGGCTCAGATATATTACATGTAACCACATCTCTGATAAAGGCAAATTCCAAAACACTTTTACAGTAAATACACCTTCTGTGGAATTTTCAAGACATCTACGGTAGCTCCAATGTTACAAAATTGCCAATAATTAAATTCCTGTTGAAGCAATATACAAACTTGCACGTGCGTTCTGGTATGTTTTGAAGCCTGTCTGCTCGTTAACGGGGGCCTTTACGGCTCTGAAATCCATTTACACCCTGACAGCTACCAGTACGTACATGGAGCTTTAGTATACATGTGACTGCATATGAATGGAAAACTGTCTTGATAGTTTATGGAAAACGCATGACAACCTTCTTGTTCATAAACAAACGACCTGCGCCCCATGGTCCTGTACAAGAGCCTCCTGCAAGAATGAATCCCATACCACAGGTTAATTTTGAGAGAGAGAAAGAAAACTGCACGAGATTACAAAATGCTTAACCCTCCTTTAGTTTTACAGCACAAATATGCACAAGTGCCCAAGATCACTCTCTTGCACGTTGGTGCAGTGCACAACACGACACAGCTGTGCTTCTTTGAGGTGTTTACCAAGTGACCCAAAGAGTGACTTCAGCATAGGAGGGTTAATTAATAGTGAAAAGATGAACATGTACATATGTACATGTACCGCTGCGCAAAAGTCAAAAAGTCCTTGGCAAACCAAATTTGAGTGATTGCCAGAGCATGTTTCACAACACTGAATGCCGCCATGTTCTTGACCTGTTACAAGTAAGGCTGTCAATTGGAGCCATGTACACATAGGCTTGAATAAGTAAACTAACCTTACATACCTAGTGTGGACTTATGAACAAACGATGTCCACACTATGCAGGAAAGGAAGACGTTCTGTGGACTTGCGCATGTCCACAGGACGTTTCTCCTTACCTGAAAAAGAAGTTTAGAGGCATTGTGGGGTTGGGGTCATCCGTCGTAAAAGGAAGAGGAATAGTCAAGGACACCTTGTACAAAAAAAACAGCTGAAAATTGTGTTCCCAGTTTGAGCACAACGAGTATTTTGACTGAGTTTCCTTAACTTCACGAAAAGAAAGGAATGTCCACACTAGGTATGTAAGGTAAGTGTGGGTGGACAGGTAGGTGTGAAATAAGATTTTGAAGAATGCACAAAAGGTTGCTTCTGATTTTGCCGTCTTTAAGATTTTTTTCTATACATGTACATCTATTTACAAAAATAGCACATCCGAATTTTCCAGTAATTTTCCAGATAAAAATACAAGGTGAACTAAACTAAACATACAGTGAAATGCCAAACCGAGGAATAGACTGGGAGGCAATTGTGATGCAATCAGACAAAATTAGTCCTTTTTTAACCCTGGTCTGTTCGTCTCTCAAACATCTGGAATGAGTACAAATGTCAACTTCATGGCTGTGAAAACTGCATGTTGGTACCACTTTTGGTTCAAATGTTATGGACTTTTGATTTCCACTGGTACATTTATGAGACCTTCCAAACTAAAATGTAGTTTTACTTGATCCATCACGATTGATCTTAGAACCAAGAAAATGAGTCCGATGTTTGTTTCTTTATGCTATTTTGGTTTCAATTAGCATTAGGATGAGCAAACTGGGCTAAGTTTGGGCATCCTCATGGAGTTCGACATTGTTGAGGGTGAAAAATGTTGACGGTTCTTATCATACTGACTTCCACTGTACAAGAATTTTTATAAAAGCATTTAATTTAAACGTGGCTGTGGTGACGTACGTACACATAAGACTCATTTTGTGAAGTTGGGTTACAAAATATACATTGTACTCTACAAATTCCATTTCTCACAGGCCAGCACTGCAATACAGGAGCATATTACGAAAGGTTTTAATACATGCACACAATGCCCCCTTGCCAACATGTTTAGCTTGAAACTGTGAATTGTAAATGGAACGAGCAGTGCCAGTCAGTGCATGTATATATGTATGGATCTACCATTACGCTTCGCAACGAACAATGTACATGGCATTACTTGTTTCAAAGCCTATTCTTGATGACAATTTACAAAATGTAAAACACAAAGCATTAAAAATGAGTGATTTCGCATACACAAGCAAAGAAAATTGACTTGGGCTGCTCAATTTAATTTCAACATGGTGGTCTCACTTTTACGTGAAAATGATTTTCAGGACTTCAAACGGTTTCTCGTTTGGGTGGTGCTTTTTGTCGTGGCTTCGTAGCGTGCTCTTCGCCCCAAAGACTTTGCCACATTTCAGGCAAGAGAATGCCCTGTCATCTGTGTGAATTCTGGCGTGCTCTCTGAGGGACGTGCCCCTGGTGAATGCCTTGCCGCAGGTTTTGCAGGAGTACGGCTTCAGCCCTGCGTGGCTCTTTTCATGTCGTTTGCAAGCCGTGCGAGAAGAGAAGGCGCGCTCGCAGATATCGCATTTGAAAGGTTTCTCGCGGGTGTGCACTCGCTCGTGTATGACCAGCGATCTCTTTTCGGCGAAAACGTTGCCGCAGATTTTGCAAGCGAACATCAGAGGATTGGTATGCACTCTTTCATGAACTGTGAGCGTTCGCTGCCTGGTATAGCCCCTGTTGCATATTTTACACACGTAAGGCCGTTCTAGACTATCATAGCCTTTGGCAGGCTTTCTGTTGTAATAGTTTCTAGTGCGGGCTTCAGGGGACGTATCGACTGGCTGGATGTTCAAGGTCTTGATCAACTTAGGGACCTTGGGTCTCTCACCAGGATGGTACTTATTCAGATGACTTCGCAGGCTACTCCGCGCTGCAAAGCTCTTTGAGCAAGTTTCGCAGGAGAAGGCCTTTTCGTCAGTGTGAACGCGCTCGTGGTCATGCAGCGATGTTTTCCTTGTGAAGGCCTTATTGCAAACAGAGCAGACGTAGGGTTTCAGGCCAGTATGACTGCGCTCGTGCCTGAGTAAGGGATTCTTCGAAGTGAAAGCTTTGTTGCATAAGCTGCAAACGAAGGGCTTCTCGTTCGTGTGAGACCTGACGTGGATGATCAGGCCGCGCTTTTCGGAGAACCCCTTGTTACAAATTGAACACAAAAACGGGTTGGTGTGGACGCGCTCGTGACAGTTAAGCGAGCTTTTCTTAGCAAACGCTTTGTGGCAGTAACTGCAAAAATACGGCCTCTCCCCAATGTGCGTTTTCCTGTGATCAATGAGATACCGGTTTCGCTTGAACGTCTTGTTGCAAAGATTACATTGGTAGGGTCTCTCAGATGAGTGGCAGATCATGTGCACTTTCAGATTGGCTTTGCTCCCAAATTTCTTCTGACAAACCTCGCACATCCACTGTGCATCTTCTGTGAGCCGGTATCGCTTTGCCTTTTTGTGTTTTTTGTGCTTTTTGGGCTTATCTCTATCTTTTGCCTTATCCTTTTTCTGCTTGTGTTTCTTATGCTTTATGATCGCATCAACCATCGTCTGATCAATCAGCTGGGGCTGCTCTTGAATTTGTTGTGAATTCATGAAATCGGCAAGCCCCGTCAGTATCTCAACGGCAAGTGGAATTTCTTGGGAGTCCTGCTGTATGTTCATGGTACCGTCGGGTGCGGTGATAATATGAACATACTGTGGGTGGCTGCCGTCATTTGGATCATAAGATTGAGACACCTGCTGTATGGTCATAGTGGAGTCTGCCCCGGACAAGATCTCTACGTTCATTGGATTCCCACTTACATCCTGGCCCATCCCTTGACCTTCTTGGGTTATGACCACTGGCTGGTCAGTGCAGTGGTAACCTTCGACATTGAGTTCGACTCCACCCACATGTAGGTTATTGTCCATTTCATGCGGCTCATGCTGGACACTGATCGCGGAATCTATGCCAGCTTCAGCTAGGGACACTTCTACGATATTGGGATCTATATGATGCATAACCTGCTGTGCATCCATCTGGGATGCTTCGGAATAATGACTTACACCCAAAGGTACCTCTACAGTGCTTATGACTACGTTAGAGGAATCTATGTTAACCTGGTCACTTGGGTCCATCTGATGAGATACCTGTTGGGTCAGAATCGCTTGGCTTTGTGTTTGGAGGCTTCCAACTGTGTGGTCTTCACCTGTAAGCTTGACCACATGTTCCTGGACTATGTATGCTTCAACTGCATGTTCATTGCTTGGGAGAGCTTCGACCGACTCATTCTGCAGAGGGAGGCCTTCCACCGCCTGATCTTCAGTGGAGAGACCCTCAACAGATTGGCTCTCAGCAGGAAGGCCATCACCTGATGCATCCTGAGTGGGTAGACCCTCAGCGGTCTGATCTCCTGTGTAGTCATTAACTGCCTGATACTGAGCTGTCAGAGGGGGCAAGTCATCCTCTGACGGCAGTGGAAGACCCTCAACTCCTGCTTCCTGGCCCGAAACGCTGTCGTCTGGATTCTCCTCACCAGCTAAGGTTTCCACGGCAACAGACAAGTCAATGCGATTTTCATCTGTGGCTTCAGTTTCTGTGGAACTGCCCTCCAACACCTGTGACTTAGAGGCAGGCTTATTTTCTTGTTCTTCCATCTTCACCTGTAAAAAATAACAATAAAACCTGCATGGGTGGTGCACATACAGATGTTTCTGGTTCGTAAACAATTATTAGACAGGTCTTAACTTTCCAAAAACATGAGTCATTCTATAAATTCAGGGTCCAAAAGTGTGACAATTTTGTGTCCCTGTTAAACCTGACCTGTGCAATTTGACGTGGAAATATCACCAGAATTGATTTCAAACTATTTTTATTTGTTTGGCAGGTATATCGCATTATTTTATCACTCTTGGAAATTAAAAAATGCATTGTGAACTTACCACATCATATGTCGCATGTGACAGGGACATGAAAAAACTTGGACCCCTAATTTATACAATGAGCCATATCGATAATGTTAACTTTTTCTTGCAGGATTTTCTCATAGTAATGAGCTCATAAACCTTATTTTGCTTCATATCAGGTTCTCCAAAGCAGTTGAAGCATACAGCAAACTGACATGAGTGAATCTTTTTAATTTTTCCGGCTTTGAAGAGGGGCTGGTCCATAATCCTGTCTCCCTGTATACTGCTGTTTTGCAAAGGAAGAACTGCAGGTATGTTGGCCAGCTGGGGATATGTTAACCTGTACCGATTTTATGTGTCAATTTTAAAGAGGTGTGCAAAAACATTATGGATGGCTTCAAGAGGTGTTGTTAAAAATAGTCTCTCAAGGTGGCACACGAAGCCAGTGCTGGATTCGAGCCCATCACAAGTCCTTTCACAAGCCCCTTCATAAGTCCAGTCAGAAGTCCCCTCACAAGGCCAGTCATGAGTAACAGGGCGAACAATGACAAAAGAATGATTTGTCATAGCTCATTTGAACAGCTTGTGAATTGTCTTTAAGACAAAAAGACTTGTGATGGACTTACAGGGACTCGAATACAACACTGCATCAGGCATTCTATTTTCCTGAGGCAAAGCTGAGAGAAAATAGAATGTCAAATACTCCAGAAACAATGCAGAAATCAGCAGCTTACCAGAATGAAATGCAGTCCAGTAGCAGAGAATTTCCAGCTCAGCAGTTAAAGCAAATGGGCATACCTAGAAAAGAATATCACTAAAGAGTCAGAAAGTCTGAGTCTCGACAAGACTGTTGCTCCTGGGCTCAGCACAAAAGTATATTTACACACTCAGTGGGAGCAAAGTAGGCCACTTTAAGCCCTTAACTCTGTGGACATTTTGGCTGGGATGCAAACTTTATCCTTCAAAATCCTGCAAAATTTGGACAATCTTCCAAAATCACCCAATTACTTCTTGAAAGTGTTCCTTGGAAGGAACTGCCTCTATCCTTCAAAATCCTCAGGCAATTCCCACCACGTGCATCCTTGTGTGTTTAAACTGAACCCGGACAATAGAGTTACTTGAACAATCCAATGATGAATAATTTTATCATATCTTTCCATTTGATTACATGCAGAAAACCCCACTCTAAAAATGAAGGTTTATGTTTAAATTAAGGTGAAAAGCAATATGCACTGTGGAGATATTTTTATTTTCTGGTGATGATATCAAGACGGACTGCTTGTTTCGTTATTATTGCTGATGAACAAGAAACCTAAACTGGAAAAAAGGAAAAACTTGACTGATGGGGGGATGCTGAAACATAACCTACCACAGACAAGAGGTTGCACTGATGCCTAGAACGGTCAGTGGCTTGCTCAAAGGTGTCAGGCTTGTAGAGCCAATCAGCACTGGTGAAAACATCCTGCAGCATTCAGAAAGGAGAACCATGGACAAATATGGTATTGTTGTGTACTTCTCACTTGATGGTTATCGCAAAGATGGGAGAACAATTTTCGAATGGGGCGAGGCCATTTGTGAGCTGATCAGGCATCACCCATTAATAGACCAATCCACAAGCTCCATCCATCCCTGATTCCCTCCCCCTGCTCGAGAAGTGGCAGACCAGCCACCGGCCCCCACAGCTTCAAGTGATGAGCCATACAAGAGGCCAGCCCAAGCCTAACACTATCAAGTGGCACACCTAGGGTGAACGTCCCACTGGGAGGGGGCCACCTAATGATGCATGTATTTTTCCATAGGTGCTCTGGAAACCAAGGAACTGCAGGTTGTGCATAACGAGTTCTCATTCATTTCATTGGGATCTCAAACTAGAGGTACAGCCCCCAGGGCAGATGGGGGGGGGCACTATGCCCCGCCCCCCCTCCAAACAAAAAACTGATAAGGATTTGATTTAATCAATCAGAGTGAATATATGAAGTGTCTTAACGAGTATGTTTTCTATGGACAGAGTCATTTTGTGGAGGATATTGTTTCTGAGCAGCTGCTTTATTGTGATTGGTGCGATCAGTTAATTAACGCAAAAGTGCAGCAGGGCACTGCTTACTTGTTTTGGCCCCCCCTCCTAAAAAATTTGGGTCTGGATCAAGCCTTGTATACATGTAGCCCCACACCAGATATCTGCTGGGTGTGTGCAACCCTTGCCCCATTTATGCCACCAATCGCAGATCCACAACCAATTTTTATTGAAGGGGGCACAACAATTATTTGAAATTTAGAAGTTTTTGTTATCTTTTTTTGGTTATGAGGGGTCAGGCAACATTTAAGGGCTTAAGTTTTGCACACCTATGGAAGGGCAATCAACCAGCCAAAAAAATCACCTTTCATTATTTTTATAAAAATCTTTTCTTTTTTTTGTAAACTCATTTAGGGGTGAAGGGTAGTGCATGGTCCCAAATGGCCATCTCCCGAGTCTGCCCTTTAAATGCCACTGATACCAAACCCTCAGCACTTGTTAAATTATTAAGAACTCTGCAGTCTTTGCTTCTCCCTACCCCCTTCCCCCCAAAAGGGAAATATTACACACTTTGCCCCTTAGGTGAGTAGAAATTTGACATGAAATTGGACATGAAATTTGACAAAGGTTGGGGACCGTTTCTGGGTTTCAGCTTATGCAACCAGAAATTCACAAAATCTGTCTTCAGCCTTTACGGGATAACAGTTGAACCTTGTTAAAGAGGTCTTTCGGGCTTAATTACCTCGTTATAACAGGAACCTTGTATTATATTTGTAAGATCAAAGGATTGGGACCTGAAAATATCCTTGTTATAAGCAAAATCTTGTATTGACAATGCTCCTATTAACGAGGTTCGACTGTATATGCAAGAAAACCATAATGCCCAGCCAGTGGCAACATGCGACATGCTCAATATCCCGGGAATGCTCCTCATTCCAAGAAATTTCCTTATATCACCCCACAGCTTCCAAAAATTTTAAAGTCTGACATATCACTGAAGCCCAAATGGTTTGACTCTGCTATACTGGGAAGCCAGTAGGTGGTGATATAGGTATATTTGTTGAGTCTTTGGAATTTTTGAAAATCGTTGTCACTTTACTGTATGTAATGTCGTGGAGCACTAATGTGACCCATCCTGTCCAAATGCAAAAAAGAGCAAAGCTAACGCTCCACTCAGCAGAGCCAGTGAGGACTGATTTTGTCCCACTTCTCCTGGGTTGGGCACTCTCTCCATTGGATAAAGTTTGACTGTGCAAGGTTATTTTGTATCCCGCGTGTAGCATGCCATAGGCTGTACTAATTACCGTGAATTTAGGTGTAAAGTTACCATGGGAATAGCTTCTGAGACGTACAAGAACTTGACTAAAATTTGTATTTTTGCCAGTGTTCAGAAGCTGACGATGGTTCAAAAAATGAAACAGAAGGAATGTTCTGGCTGTAATGTCATTGTTGTGCCCCCAGGACTTGGAAATTTCTTAGTGTGTTAAAATGTTGTATAAAATTTGGCGTGTTTTCCTGTCAAGTCGTAAAACTGGAGATTTGATACTCTACGCATGCATGGCAGGACTGCAGTTGTGCACAACATTCTAGTAATGTAATGAAGACGACGTCCAACCTGGGCTATAATGACCCATGCACTTGTTTTCATAGTTCGTGTAGTCTGAACAACTGCGTGTAAGACTCTATGAATCGCCTCTTGTAACATTTAGATCGTTATGTTGGACATGACACTAGGCTTTCTGACTAGTGCCAACCCTGTTTAAATCTTAGAGGCCTACTTGCTCGGACAGACTAAAGTTTATGGTCTAAGGTGCTAGTTCGATGTGGTAATTTTTCAGAACTCCGTCCCGGATCCCAAACTAAAACCTGGAAAGCACACCCATAATTATGAAGAAATGATATTATACATCGTCAGTTTATACAAAAGAAGCTCACCAGCCTAGGGTTACAAAACAGCCACGATATTGTGAGCATAGGACATTGTGCACATGCTTACTTGACAAATTAACCCTTTTGTGAGTAAAATTTGAATAAAATCTGAGTTCTTTAAATTCACGTAAACATACCAATTTGAAATCTCCACAGTGAAGACACTGTTGCAACATACCTAATATAGGCTACCTCGTGATTTGGGGCAGGCTTGCTTTGTTTATCCAGTCCAAAATTCGAAAAAGAGAAATAGGCTACTACAAACGCTCCAATCACCATCACAACTCAGCTACATGTACACTGTATTACTATGGGAATGTCTGGCAAAACAGGGACATTTTTTCACTTCAAAAAACTCTCCCTTTCCTTTCAGAACTGGGATCATTCTCTCTGCCTCTGGTAGGTGACTGAATTTGTCTTCAAATAAAGGGACTTGTCGGAGTTGGACAATGACTTTTGATGTTAGGGATCCGTCTATACTCTCTGGACTCGTCTAGATGTTCATACGATGTGCCTAACGTTAGGCCTACTCCTACTAGGCCTCCAGGCTTTGCAAATCAGACCGAATAATAGGCCTAGGTAGGATGCGAAATACGGAAGCTTCTGCTTTGAGTTCGTCATTCCAAAATGTCCACCAACGAGCATTGGCCTAACAGGACACGTACACAAACAATCAAATGGCGTTCCTCTATACGCTCTAAATTCGACGCCATTATGGGCGCGGCGAAAACCTTCAAGCATTTCCCTCATTTTGTGGCCAATTTCTGCACCCCCTGTGCCTAATCCACCTGCTATCCCCACCCCCGTGAACCAGAGGAAAACTTCGTTGGTTACACGGGGTGAAAAATCTTGTAAGACTGGCAGTCTGCAATCAAAATATATGGAACAAAACCGTACGCTTACCGCTCAAACTGGTCCCAGGAATGGAAGAGGCTGCAGTAAAGTATGGCAGGCGAACGCCACGCATGCGCACACCACTGGTATCCTGCGTCACCGTTATAATTCAATGACGTCATATGCTGCTCGGAAACCAGCGCATGAGATTTTTGCTGGTACCCTTTATTCAGCAATGGGTACGTTCGAGAATGATTACTTGTGACCAGTGGCCAATTTTCCTGGTAATCCGCTGTACATAGCATTGGTAAGTTACCAGGGATAATCTACCAGTTCATAAACCAAAAATTGCAGTTGGCGTTCGAACTTCCGAATGATGGCAAGTGTGAGGGCGCAATCGCAAGTCAAGTAGGCCAGTCAGACTAGCTCTAGGCCACTGGGCCGAAGGGTATCCTTTATTTTAATAATTTCCGGTTAATTCAATTTTAATAACTTCAAGTTGGCAATGTTGCAGGAAGTTTCCCCGACGGCCGTGCCAAAACATCGAAGAATGAAGGCTTCAATTAAAATGCCAATAAGACAACAGAAAAGCTACGTACCTAACTTCATTGGTATCGCAATAATATTGAAAAGTGGGGAAAGTATAAAATATCTAAAGTAAGTTCACAAATACCATTGTAGACAACGTATATTATGTAACGCTGTACCATCGTTTTCACTAGGCTTCAAAAATGAGGCAGAAAAATAAACTTCGGCCTGACCCCCCCCCACCCCGGAAAAATTCCTAGACCCCCCGGACCGACTGGTATCAGCTTCAAAATTATCGAACGGAAAGCATTTGCCTCACTTTCTATTTCTTTAGTTTCTCCAGTGCCACATTTCTTTCAGACATTTATTTTCCGAGGCACATTTAACTAAGTTGACCTCGGGCGAGATCTAACTCCAAAATTCGAGACTGCCAAAAAAGCTGTGAAACGATCGAGGCAAATACAAACTGCAAACATTCTGTTTTTAAAAGCAATTCCAATTATTTTTTTTCTATTGTCATAAGTCAGTTTGGTAGTTTCAGAACTTCATTGTATTTAAAAATGGAAGGCCTATATAACTTAAAAAAAAACTGAAAAATGCATTTATTATCTTGCAATAAATACTGTAAATACAAAGAAAAGACATGATAACGCTCTTGAGGGCTGCAACAATTTTTCGGAAATTTTACTTTTAGTGCCGACTTGGAATTCATTTTTGCAGATGGATTTCATAAGCCAATAACAGTTAACATCTGTGGACAGATTGACTACTATTAAAGTACTGAACTCTTGTCAAGAAGCACAAAATGAAACATGTCCCTCAATACTTGCTACGTTTATTACCCGATATAGTTTTCTCAATATGCATGAACGTATGTTTGCTTCTTATTCGCCTTCTCCATCACCGGAGGGTTTCTGAGTTTGCTGCGACTGAGTGTTGTAGTTGTAAATTTGAACGTATATTTTGTACCCATCGTCAGTTTTCTTCCATATGATAACGCCCCTGTTGAAAAAAAAAATAATTTTAAAAATCAGTCTTGTCTCAAACAGCATTATGTCCTTAAAATCGGTTTCGGTTTTGAACAATTTCATTTAAGAAACATTTTTATTAATATCTGGTGATTTCTGTCAGGATTAATGAACCATTTTTATTTATATTTTTATCAGTATAATTTCAATAAAATGAATTACAAAATGTAATGTCTTCTTTTCCACTGCTACCCTTATCGGGCACCAGACGAAGATTGACGGTAGGCCTATAGATTTGATGTAAAATTTTGACATTGAAAGACATTTTTGAATCGAACTCAATGTTAACAAAAGTTATCTTCGGACTAGACCAAAGTATGCCTCTATCAAATTTGCACGGTGTAAGTTTTACATATAGTGGGAAAGCTTTCAATGTTGTATTTACTTACTTGCCATCTAACACCAAGGTGTCTTCTTTGAGATATATCTTCTCCCGTGTGCGTTCAAAGACGAAGTTAGCTTTGGGGTCCATGACACCTGTCTCATCAGAGCGCCATTTTAATTTCCGCTCATCCTTGACCCAGCCCAAAAACGGTTCGACATCTAGAAAAATATTGACACAATTAATGAGCCAATCCGGTATTAACAAAAAGTTATAAAGGGCATTCGGGAACAAAACGTGCGCGTGAGTCAGCATGACTGCGCTGATAGGACAGACTGGCCTCAGTATGCAGTTGGAATCCACCGTTAGCAGGAACACCCCATCATCGGTTGAAAAGAGCCATATTGGTCAGGAGTGTTCATTTTGCTGGTAGCAACGCTAGCATCGAGCGTGAATTTTGTTTGTGAACCAGTGAAGTGCATTTCCCACCGAAGGAGCCTCTTTTGCTAAGAATGTTGCGCCCTCTCCTATTTTCGATAAAATCTAATACTTTCTAGTAAAATGTTTGAAACTTCTGAGCTTTAGAACACGCACGATCATGGAAACATAGCACAATTATGATAATACATGCCAAAATGGAGAGGCTGCTGTCTTATTCCGAAATTTTTAGACAGACCAAGAGAGTGGCGAATGAATCTGAAAACGCTTACTTTTTTTCCCAATCACAGTCGCCTGTCCGTCAGGCATGAAGCGCACATCATCATGGTAGTACTTCAAGACACATGCTGCATCGTTTGCTTTGATGCACTCTTGAATTGCATGATTCACCTGCGATATCTTTGAGGCTACTTCTGAGTGAAAACAGTGACAAAATCGAGTTGAACTTAAAGTCTATATTCGTTTTTTTGTGGTCTTTAACCTGACTTCTGGTTTCTGGTATTTTTGGAACAACAATCATGAAGTTAGTTTGTCGACGTTTGTTTCAATTACAAGTCAAAAAAAGGGGTGAACCCTCGCGAATTCCTATTGATGAAGTTAGTACTGAAAAATAAAAAAGTAATGAAGTATGTCCACTTTTCTGGTTATCATGCAACTGATAACATTGCTTTTGAAATGGCAGACAAAAATCTGTCGACAACAGACGACAATAGGCCTATAATTTTTAAAAATAATATTGAAGAACATAACCCGATATTCCAGCTAGGCCATTTCTGGGGTTAAAGGTTTTGTATCGAAAAAAACCCGACATTCTACTGTGAAGTTCATTAAACAGTAAATAAGTTGTCCCTCAAAATATTTTATTTGAACTAAGGAAGAACAAAGCGCAATCGGTTTATGCCTTATCATCCAAGCAATGCAATGAAAGCTAGAATGCTAGAAATGCTAGAATTACTATATACAAACCGTCGTTAGTAACTGCACTTATCTTCTCCGAGTTAGCTCCTTGTTCACAGGCAGAGGCAAATCCAGCCAAGGCCAGCAGAAAAAGATGGAGAACATTGGTAAGAGACATGTTGTTTTGGAAGAGATTCATCAAGACCGTTGGGGTAGATGAAGAGATGGCGTATGGCATTCAGCGACAACCAGCACACGCTCGTTATGATGGAAATTTAAGCACTAAAATCGATCGCATTATCAATTAATTCTTAAGTATAAATACCTATGCTTTTATTTTACTACCATCTGTAATGGATGAACTTGGAATTGGCATTTTATGATTATTACAGCTGTGCAGTCAAACCGCTACAGGTGAATTGCATCCGTCTTTATGGAATTGAGATGATAAAATGTTACAATTATAATTATATAATATATTGCATATAATAATATTGTAATTATTATATATAATTTCAGTATTAAGTACACCAGTGTTGCTTGGGCGCCATGCTTTGGTGATCAGGTTCTTGTTTACACCTAATTGACCACGTATCGTTGAGCCTCACCGTCACTGTATGTCCAGGAAGTGGTGACTATCAGAGTGACTAATATTAATTGGTTTTAAAAACGCACGCGCTTTGAAAGCATCGTGTCCTTTGCATCTCGACATTATATTCAAATATGGAATTCGGGCTTATCAACGGAAAATCACGAGATTAATGCCAAAATAATAATAATAGTGAACGTCATAATCTCTGAAGAACCTCATTTGTCTGCATCGCAAAGTCCCTCCGCGAGGTGAAGTAGATCCCAATGCTTTCATGCACAGTCTACTATTACTGCGGAATATTCATGAATTGTTGTGAAAATCATTTTCTTCACAATTAATTTTTATTAGCGATTAGAGTGGGCAAGAGCACGCTGCCATGTGTAATTCATAATATTGACGGAATTATGAGCAAAACGCGAATTTCAAGATTAAATAAAAATAACCTTGTACTTTGTTGTCGGTCGTATCCCGATCTGCTCAGACACAGTTTGCAGCTTGCAGAACTTTAGGTGAGGTTTATTAAAACACATATTATTATTCACATGCTGAAACTATATATGCCTTGGCTTAGCTAATATTCGTAAATTTTACTTATAATTAGAACTGTTCTGTTTTATTGTGATGTCACACTTCTATTATGTACAGTTGAATTCAAGCATTAATTCTATTAACTGATTACATACGATCGATGAGAAAATTACAAGTACGTGTACGCAATCTTTGTACTAAAGCCCCAGATTTGTAATGGGCGTTGTTGGTTTGAGTCGCTTCTACACAATAAGCAATGACAAGCAGCAGGATCCGAATCGCTTTTTTCGATCATGCTTTGATTATTAGTGATGAGTTCGGTATTCCAACAGCGCACGCCTATTCGTGAATTGCTAAGCGCGAGCGACAGTCTGTCCAATCAGTGCAGCCGTGCTGACTCAAGCATCTGCCTCGTTCCCGAAAGGCCTTGGCTTTTTAAAATACCGAACTAGCTCATTATGATAAATATGGCATAATTGCCTAAATTAGCCGGAATATTTCACTTCGCAATTTAAGCCCGTGTGCAGTTAATGACAGACTCGTAGGATTTACAGGTTTCCGTAGGATATGTTCTTCATCAGTCGCCGCTTCCGGACGACGTACACCGCTACACCCACGATGATGGCGACAGCGACCAACACTCCGATGACGATGCCGGCAATCATACCGGCGTTGCTGGGGCTGGCCTTGCTGGGAGGAGGGTGCACCGACCCCCCTGGTGTTGATTTTGGGTGGCCTGTCGTTGGCACTGTCTCCGGACAAGTTTCGACTGTATTCACAATTCAACAAGGAATTAAGGTGTCATTTGGAGGGAAACTAAGGCCCGCGAACAGTAACTGGGAAGCGCAGGAAGTGAAGCGGCGAAACTTTGATCCCAACTCTGATCTCTGAACAGGAAAACATTGATGCAGAAGTGAATTGAGATTGTTTTGAATAAATCTTGTAGTTCCGCACCCTACATCTTTGAACTCAACTCAAACTGCGGACGGTGAATTCCAAAATATGAGGAAAAGAAGCTTTAAAGTTAGTCTGAATTCTATGCATGCAGAGATTTTGTTTTTGAATTTTTTGCCCCATTTGTTATTTTAATTTTTTTGGGGGGGGGGTTCTTTGATTGAAATATATTCCTGTCTCTTCCCAAGGAAAGCTTACGAAAAGCCTGTCCAGTTTCTACAAAACTGTAAAATTACACACTATTTCCACAGTATCTAGTCTTCGTAAAGAAACTACGAAGGTTTACCGCCTGCATTACAAAATCTAGGTATTAAAGAAAAATAACCAAACTAACAACAAGTACCAATCCAAAATCATCTGACAAACAAAAAAATGTGAATGAAACTTTTAATCTGCAATGTGTAAAAAGATTAATATTTATATTTATGTCACAACATATCACTTCCTGTGGGTCAATCACTGTCATCTACACTGCTGTGTCTTTGGTCTGGAATTCCATACGATGCATAAAACCTGACTCTGAAGACAACTACTTTACAAGTCTCAGTTCCAGCTAAACTTCCAAAATGACAAAGACCAGGCCATATATCTGGAAACATTTAAGGAAAATGTAGTAAGGTGAGAATGCACTTTCTTATATCCACCTAGAAACCAGTATGATGTCAGAGTTATACGTCAAATTCCCAGGGTAGGTCTCGTTTTTTAACTCTTCACTTTACCTTCACCGAAGTGGCCTTTATCTTTTGATTTCTGTGCAAACGGTTGGATCAGAATGTCATACAGCATCACGGTGAAATGACCTTTTTTGGAATAACACGCCACGGAATCGCACTTAAAGCTCTTGCCGATTGTTCCAACTAAAAAAGGAAGACATAAACATCGAATGCGGTAAGAGACTGATTCCGAAGACCTGGCAAATTACCGTAAAGGTAAGTAACAAAAGGATATACAATTTCAAGAAACTGGTGGTGAACTAACGTTCCGTTTCGTTTTAATACCGACGTCAGTTGCTACATGTGTGGGTGAATCGATCACAATTTTATGGTAATTTACCCTCAGCCGTCCAACAATTTACAACTTATAAAAGGGATGAAGGAAAGACAATGGCTTCCTTGCGTTATATTATTTGTAATTTTTTTTTAATCTGTGTACGGTACCGATGGAATGTGGCAGCAAATTTAAGATACCTTCACGGCAACTTATTACGGCGCAAAAGCAATCTCTATATACCAAAACCATATCATATCTTTTTTTTCGTATTTATATTTATTTTCACTACATACCATACGAAGGTGGGTAATGACCTTCCTTAAGTTCATCTAAGACGAAAGATAAAAGATAAAGAAATTGTGTCACCTCCACTGTTAATATGGGATTTTTTATTTCAGTGACAAAAGGCATGGTGATCTGTGACAGAGAATACGGGCGATTCACAATAGCGCGCCTCCAAGAGTTTGCAACGCGTTGGCCAATCACGATGCGCAAAATCTGTGGACCCTTTCTCGCATTGTGATTGGCCAATGCGTTGCAATCTCTTGGAGGCACATTATTGTGAATTGCCCGTATTACATGATGAAATTTTAAAATTGAGTGTTGGGTAACGGGAATACCTACTGTACTTTACAGCGTTCGACTGAAAACAGGGTTCGATGTAGCGCACTGAGATTCCTTGCCGGTTGTAATACGTCGACGCACCGGACTCGTTAAAAAACAGCACCAGTTGGGCGCAGGAAAAATCCTTGTTTGGATAATAGAGCGTGAAGTTGCGTACTTTCTCGTCAGCCTCGCAAAACCCTTCGAAGAATGTGGTATTCATGATTGGAATGTCTGCTTCGAGAAGCTGTGCGGAATGGCATGTGAAAATAACGGTATTCGATATCATGGTTCTGATTCGGTTAAATATGTTGGAAGTATATCGTTTTTATATACACTAAAATAATACCGCTTGTGATGTAAATAATACACAAAAAGGCGGGGTGACGGACTCATGCACAAATCAGCCATCTTGAATCAAATGGTAGGTGGGTCCCCAGTGTGCGAAAGAATATCATGGTAGGGTGGCAATTTATGCATTGCTGTCCCTTTGATTCGATGTGTAGCCCTTCCATGGTGGCTAAAAACGCATGTCACCTTCAAGCATTGTCCAAATTGAAAATACTACTCGAAGTGAGGTATGAGACTGTACCCTTAATCATGGCAAAATGGTCAGGCTCTTCTCCATTGGCATCTCCGTCCATAGGCATGCAGAGCCTCGATCTGACAGCTTGTAAAATTGCGTCAGTATCGCGTCAACGTAGCTTTTCAAATATTGTCCAATCGCATTGTATCATTAAGAGCTACGCAGCACGCGCAAAATTACTAAGCAACCTACGCGGGAAGCTTTGCAGGCGTGGCATACATAGTGTGGACCACTGCACAAAAGAATCCCACATGATGCAGGGTGCGTTAGTGTGAACCTGCTTGTGTAAAGATCGAAATCGAGGCTCTGCACGGCAAAAGCGGCAGCGGAAGAGCGAATTGCCGGCCGTCGTCTTGACCAGTGTGCCTGTCTTTTCCGTTTCATTTTCCACACTCAATAAATAGAAGTTTTTACTGCTAGACTGTATAAACAACCCCACACGAGTTGCTTTGGTAAACAATGACAAACGTACCCCTTGGTTTTTGGTCTCGTATTTGACCTTCATCGTGGCATTGAAATTCAGAAGCATGCAGGGCTCACCAGCAGAGTTATTGACTGAATATCTACACGGATCAAAGCAAAATTATTCACAAAAACCATACATCCAAGGTAGTAATAGGTACGTACTTCAGAGTAATCCGTGCGTACAAATTAACTTTGTTTTATGTCCTAAGTACACTTCCATTAGAATCTCCTGTTCGTATACAGAGAAAATTGACAGTAGAATGTGCTATCCCAAAACAGCAACTTCTGTAATTCCAATTGACAATCTGCCCTGAGCTGAAGTGCACCCCCGTCGGCGAAAAGAAAGACAGGTGGTCACACAAGCGGGTTCTTGCACGCCTTCTACGGTACGACCATACATGCCGGAGTAAATTAGTTACGCGTACTCAGCGTGCTCCGCGTCAAACGCGCATATACATGCGCGCCTCATCATGGTGAGCTTATGAAGTGAGTACCAAACAAACACGCCCTCTTTTGTTCCTCTCGGAACAGACAGTTGTTAACTGTGATCCGACTGGAAAACTTTGTACCAGTCTGTCTTTTTGTCGCCGTTGAGGGTGCACTTCAACTCAGGGCGGATTGTGTAATTAGACAACCAGAATTAGAAGCCATTACTGTGCACAACGCTCGTCGACAGGTAGTACGCGCGTGTTACATGCCTCTTCGGCCAATTGGGTGTCGTGATTTGCCAAATGCACGCGCGCGTCAAGCTCAAGAATGTGCATTATGAGTGAGGTGCCACCGCAGACACAGCATCTAATCAGATTAGTTTATAGTCCACCGTCTTTATAAGATTCTTTTGCTGGAAAAGGCATTCCATTAATATAAATATGAAATTTTCAAGGAATCTAACTTCCAAAAACGGCTTTGTGATAATTACCTTGGGGTGGGCTCCGGAGTGGGGGTGGGCTCTGCAGTGGGGGTGGTAGGGCCCTTAGTTGAGCCGGTGGTATGGTTGGTTGGAGAGGTACCCGTTATGACGACGTCCGTGACCATGCCTTGCGAAGGAGGGGGAGTCGTTTTGGGGGCACGGGTGGCCGTGGTTCTGACAGTGGCACCGGTGGTAGCGGCCGACGCGGCATTGGTCGTGTGGGCGTCAGAGGTCAAGCTCAAAGTGTGTGACGGAGCGTCAGTTACCTTTGGAGCCTCCGTTGTTCCGGCAGCATGGGACACGGCTCCTAATGGATATTGAAGACACCATTAAGGGTGTGTTCGCGCGGTTACTCCTGTTAACACGAGTAGGATACGTGCGCATTGCACTCAGGTACAGGAATATACCCCCCTCTAGCGAGAGTATACTCTCGCTGACCTTCGGGTCGTACTCCAGCCGTTCGAGCGCTGAGGAGTATACTCGTGTTAACGCAAGTAGCTCGCTCAAACGCACCCCAAAAGATCGTACAGGTTAATTGGCACTTACCTGTTTTGTGTATTGGCATGGTATAATTGTTGCACAATAATATTTGAAGTTTTTTTTTATAGGTTACACCCAATGGCACCTTCATCGGCGCCTGTCATAACTTGTATTGCGCTACCGAGCGAACCAACACCGTAGTGCGAGACCACCAATGTGGGGCGCTCTTCATAGTTAAGCTACCAACACTTGGGGCGTCTGCCATACGCCCCCACGGAATCCACCGGTGTAAACGTGGGTCGTTTCCTTCTGGGATAACGGAATCGGCAGGTCCCAGGCGAGGACCCAAACCGGGCAAGGGGCGGACTGACTTGTGATTATCTGGCTCAATATCCAATAATGACAGCGGCATTTGTAAAAGCGCTTGCTCCTCGTTGTGGCCATTCGGTCGGAGTCATATACACATTGCGTTTACAGGAAAGACTAAAAATTACACCCCTGGTGCGGCTGTGATGCGTAGAACATGTGGTTCAAACACCCTTTTACAGTCTCCTCTGTATGTTCGGTCCCTCGCGTATTTACCCCTAGATCGCGCCAAATGCGGAACCAGACCCTGAGACGTACGTACGCGTTCGAAAGGAAAAGCAGCACACAGGACGAGTGGGCACGTTGCGACAATGTATTTTATCAGGTGCGTTCTGATCTTCCGGAAATCCGAGCAGGCGGGGAAAATGAGACCGTTACACCAGGGGACAGATTTACCGTCTACCCAGTGGCAGAGAGACTCCGCAGTACTACGTGAAATGGAAATGAGCCGATGTCGGACACAAGGCTAGGGGTACAATTTATAGCGCACCAAGCCTTGTGGCCGGACAATGATGTTTACGGGCCGGTTTTTATGTGCCAATGAAGCGTGACGGCTTTGAATCAAAAACTCGATCAATGTCAGTGAACTTCATCGCAAAAACCGGCCCTTCCAGACGAGCGAGTGGAGTTGAATCTACATTATACAAACATGGCATTTTCAAGAACATACATACTGCACAGCGAACTCTGTGTGAAGGCCGATTAGGTTTTTCTTTACATTGCAGACTGGGACAACCTTTGAATCAGTTCCTACATTGTCAGTCGTTTACTTTGCCATAAACGCATGTTGGGTTAGTGACACACAGAGAGAGAAGGGCAAACTATATCTAAACAGTTTGGGTCAATTGGCATTTTACACTCGGCCTTAACATGCATATAGTTGAGACAAGAGGCGCGGAAACGTCCTCAACTGAGTGGGGAAAAGAGATCGAGTCATTGCACGAATACTGGACGGTTTAATTACAACGTCACACAATACATGTACAGTGGTTTACTGCGCGCACATTGCACTGATCGTTAATGTGTTACCATTTAGACCGTTGGAAAACTGCACGATTTGGTATTTCTTGTTCACTTAGACGTCGTTCTGCTACAGAAATGAACTAGTGGGTGAGCTAGGCCGAATCCAATTTTCTGATATGCAGAATGGGCAACATTCAGTCATCACCTACAAAGGCTGGATATAGAGACTAGACGTCCGGAGGACATTGAATTAGGAATGACGTCATCGTGACATCATTATTCATTTGCCTGGCTACTGCTGTCAGTTAAAAAACTTCTTGGATAAACGAATATTTCAATGAAATCTAAATAAAATATTTTCACTATAAGTGAAAGAAAAATAACTCAGAAAATGGGAAAATCCTGTGTTTGCAACGAATAACCTCTCAAAACAAACTTGGAAAGAAAATTCATAAAACTCCGAACTTCATAAAATGTACTTCAGGTTTTAAAATATATATGTCATGATGCTATCAGTAGACTTTCGTACTCTGACCGTTCGGATTACGTACTTAATCAGTGACAAATTACATTTCAGCCACTATAGGTACACACTATAAAATTATCATAATGCTTGCTTTATCGCTGTCAGAGTTTTGTGAGCTGTGCGAATATAGTGGCATTAGGCAATGGCAAAATGTTGTAGGTCATATGACGTGACGTCATTCTGTCGCGTTATCGACCTCCCTATACGTCTCTTGTTCAACAAGAAAAATAGAATGCATTTAGAAGCCAATGTTGATACACATAAAATGTGGATCCGTAATATGCGCGGCCAAATAGTGCTGGATTTTCAGATGTCGGACCGTCAAAAGCTTTACGAAATTGACAGTTCGAAACCCCCCCCCATTAGAAATCCCCACCCCTGAGTAGAACGCCCCAATTGTATCAACTGTCCTAATTAACTGTGCCCCCGTACACCACGGTTGGGGCAGGCCTAGCTCTGTCGACAAAGTTATAAACAATATTGGAGAGAAACACTGTGTGAGAAATAGGGTAAGGGCACCATTGATCGATTATCGTGATAATGTGTGGAGATTCACACACGAGGAAAGGAATAATTAAAGGACGGATTCCAAGAAGAAATGTTGGAGGAAGGAAGTAGCAAAATGAGTGGAATGCAGTACTGCCAGTCATAAACGAAACAAGCACAATAATAAACTCTTGAAAAACTGAAAATAGCCCTGTTTTTGCAATTGAATTCAGTTGCACTCAGTTTTATAAATTCAGTTCTGCTATAGGTTAGAAATGTTAAGCAAGTCCCAACTCAGTGCGTCGTGGATTCTACAGTTGGGACAGTGACAACTTTGTGGCTTTTACGCCTGCGTCTTACATATGCTGTCCTTTCATAAGTGAGTCTTGTGGCGCAAACGAACTAGATCTTGGCTTACAGGTTCGTACGCCGTCGTTCATCGCACCACAAGTGGGGCCCAGTCAGCGAGGCGAGTCTCTGGGCCACTCTCGTGGGTTTACTTCGTTCACAACACACACAAACAAATCCGCATCTGATCTGCCGTGCCATTATTCACACTGCAAAAAAAATAAATTAATTAATAAAAAAAATAGTAAGTTGTTACTCACCCAAGTAAGCTACAAGTAGCAAGACCAGTGAACGGAAAATGTCCATGATGAATCCTTAGCTACAACCAGTTATGAATTGTGTTCCTGTCGTGGTTAGCAAAGAAATCTCGTTTGCATTATCAGAGGGCAAATTCTGCCAAAGCGAAAGACCATGCGCTTGCGTAAATATACATGTATGGGGGAAGGTCATAGGTAACTGGCACACAACGTACGTATCTGGAGCTGTATGAACTACAACCAGCGATGTGTGTGCGCTCCGCGAGAGATAATCATGCATAGAGGTGCTCTAAGGTTATCACCCTTATATTTGTGTACCCGTTGGAACTTACGTCATTTTCTTTTAACGGGTCCTGGTATAGCAGCAAGGGTTTTTGGTCTCGTCGATATGCCTTTTTCAGCAACGTGTAACTCTCTCTTCTACTGAAGGATTCTTGAGCTCCCTTTTCTGTTAAATAAAATGAAAAGTGCACTTGTTTAGCCATCCAAATTTGTACATGGACCATTTCTTGAAGCCCGGTTCATTGTTTATCTCCAATGTTAACTTTATTAGTGCATTGATTAAGTTTATGTAATTATTCGACTAACTATCACTTGTAAGCGCTGTGATTTAAAGGAGCGTTTTGAAGTGCTGATTAAGTTGTAATGGGGGCGCCAGAGCGGAGCTCTTTCCAACCAGCAACCACGGACTCAGAGAGTAGATTTAAACTTGTTTATTCTATGGTCCTCTTTATCACTTGGTAAAACTGGAAAACAAAGACATCTGACACTAGTCATGACAGTCATGACAGTCATGACGTGACAATTGACATGTCAACTCCTACCGTCTGTCGAGTAGGCCTAGGCCTGGTAAATTGTTGTGGTCTAGTGCAGATCACAGGCATGACAGGTGTCATGAACACTTGATATGCTCGATATCAAGACCAAAAATACAAATAAACTGGGCCTTTGTACAGGTAAATTGACGAGGAATTATTTAGATAAAGCAAAGGAAGTTTCGGCTACACACAGAAACTAAGTAAATTCACAATGTCATACGTTTAGTGCAAATTTACAATCATGAAGTGACTAATTACACACCTTATCTAAATTGTAAACACTACCGAGACAAAACGTGGCATTAAAAATCGCAACTTTCTTGGCATTTTTATATTCATGTCATGTTAGTGCATTCAAAACTTAAATGGACAATTGCATATTGTGTTGCCTTCTAATTGATTTCAAGAACTTACTCTAGATGCAAATGTAGTCTGTACATTTAGATATTGCATTAATTGTTCTTTCCGAAGACGTTAGCTTCACACTGGCAAATCACCAACATTTTCCACCGTGTTTTTTTCTAAGTAGGCGCACATGGACTATGTCGTGTGTCGTGTATCGGCTATCGTATTTATTATTTCGTCTGAAGCGCAACTCATAGCCTTGCACTATACCGTGGATCTTGAACTTTTGAACTCGTGACATCGTATCGATGGCCTTCACGACATGTGGAATTCCTGAATTTAAATAAACTTGCTGAACCTCTGATGTACTTAACAGCAGGTTAGTGTGTTTTATTTCTCCATGGTTATAGAGAAATCGACGTGTCAGTGAGTAAAACATTTAATTATAGTGGACATTGAATTGAGAGATAAGAATAAACAAGATGCACAATGTGTGTTTTATTCCTCCGTGGTTGACGTCATGTTTGAAACCATCTGACACTAGTCATGACACTGACAGTCATGACATGACAATTGACATGTCAATTCCCAACGTCTGTCGAGTAGGCCTAGGCCCGGTAAATTGTTGTGGTCTAGTTCAGATCACAGGCATGACAGGTGTCATGAACACTTGATATGCTCGATATCCATTCCTATCCCGGTTAAAGATGTTACCCCTAATTAGGGCCTATGGCTATGCCATCATCAGTTCCAAGTGTTGGCCGGCCCAACAACACTGGTTCACTGTGTACGGTGCATGTGCCAGTCAAACTCGTATCGTTTTCATTGTCATGTCTTAGATGAAGTGGGGAATTGTGTCAAGTGTGAGATGCATGAACTTGGATAAGGTTGAGAAATTTTCTACAGAAATAGGTCAACAATTGTTTGGCCAGCCCAACTGCAGCACAACCTGACTACAGTTGGGACTGTAAAGTAGTTGGGCATATAACACGTAACAAAGACATGCCAACATGGCCAAAGTCATAAAAGTAGCCAGTTGCCTACCTATCAATTATCATGCCTATGGACTAGCTCTACTGAGTGGAGCGTTAGTATTCCTCTTTTTCGAATTTTAGACTGGATCAGTCTTCACTTAGTACATCTAGATCCGTACTCCCACGATCCTCGCCTGAGTTGGTCTGATCATGGTCTGATGCTTAATTTGGGGCGTAGGCCTAATAGTTTTCACTCTGTTGGTTTGTTGCAGAGCCTGTTTTGAGTCTAGTCCTGTGACAGGTAATCATATGTATCAAAATTTATCGCGGTCTCTTTCATTTTTTTCCCAAATGAGATTTAGCTCTGAGCCCAATTTCATCAAGCAAACACTAATGCTGCAGATCAGGTAGACTGAGAGAGCTGAGTACCGTTGGTCAGTCATGGACAAGTGTGTCCATATCAAGAAGCTGCGAGTGACCCATAACCACTCCGTTTTCAACCCGCAGAAATGGCTGTGTAAAGTGTGCGGTACGACAGAGAGCGTATGGGTAAGGGGGTCTGAAGTGGACTTACATTTGCCTCGTCAGATAAAGGATTTGAAGAATTTGTGTTCTTTGTTGTGTCGTTCAAGGTGCACAGTACATAATGGAGTTTTGTATACACCGTGTACATGGCAGTACTGCTGCCTGCAATACATAATATGTAATATCAATATATACTTTATATTCATATTTTTACTGGTAGGCTTATGCTGAGACTATATCATATTATATAGTATATCAAATTCATATGATGAGTCCGGAGCTTGACCAAGAGAGGGCGCAATTTTTTTAGCAATGCAGGTTCCTTTGGTAGGAACTGCACATACGAGTGGCTGGTCCACAAATGAATATGAAATGTACATGTAACAGTTGCATTGCTACCAACAAAATGAACAGTCCCAACCAATGTGGCTCATTTCAATCAATGAGGGGGTGCTTCTGCTCAAGGCAGATGTGCTACATGTTTTGTAGGCTTGCTCAAGCGAGCAACCTGCACCAATGTTACATATTTGATATGCATGTATGGCGGAATGCAACATCATATTAAATATACCGTATATCAAACAGATGTGTGTAATATACTTTATACTTAACGTTTCTAATTGTAGGCGTGCCTGAGCTGCACCAATGTAGCCTGTGGCCGTTACAATGAAGAGCACGCTCTCAGACACTTCCAAGAATCCAAACACCCGCTAGCGATAGAGGTCAATGACAGATATGTTTTCTGGTAAGAGAGCAGAGGAATTGCCATCGGTGGTTCAAAGGCAGATCCTGGAAAAGACTTGTTGTACTGTCTGGTGCATTTGAGTCACAGGCAGTTGATCATTCCTTTCCACTTGCAGACTTGTTAAAAACTTTCCAAGATGTTTTGGGGCAGACTTGTTGAGAACTTTCCAAGATGTTTTGGGGCAGACTTGTTGAGATTTTTCCAAGATGTTTTGGGGCAGACTTGTTGAGGACTTTCCCAGATGTCTTGGGGCAAAGTAGGAATCACTTCTTTCCCTGTTTTAAAGACAGTTTGTTGTAGTTGTGTAATGCTTTCAAGCTTTACTGGGTTGTGGTCGGCGCTTTGTTTTTCCAGCTACGAGTGCGACGACTACATCCTGAATGACAATGCTCCGGGCGATCTGAAACTGCTGCGGACAACGCTGGATGCAATCACCAAACAGACGCTGTACGAGAGTCAGACCAGGAGTGGACGCCGTCTCTTGAGGGCGCTGTCTGTCGACACTGGAGAACAGATTAAACACAGGCATGTGTGTACATACAAGTAGTAGATATGACGTTGTTGGCCAGAAGAAGGTTTGGCATGTCTGACGCTGTCTGTTCTGGGACAGTCACAAACCAAAGTGGGTTTGTAACCTCTTTTGGGCTGTTTTTGTTCGCAGGCGACAGGAGAGTCTGACTTGGGAGGACAAAGGTCACACGGCCCTCGTCCACCGACGCCTCGTCCTTCTGAGCTACGTCTTCCTGCCGTGGAAACAGTTCGTCCACGGCAACAAGGTCACGGGTCAGAAACCAAAGCCGGCCCGGATACCTCAGAAACGGACCCGCAACACCAAGACTGCCAAAGAGAGGGACACGCCCTGGGCTCAAGGGGAGGCAGAGTCCGGCTCCAAGAGGAGGCGGCTGGATGACCTGCGGACCCAGGAGGTCAAGCGGAAGTGGACAGCCTTGACACCCGGCGTGACGGGTCTTCGCAATCTGGGAAACACCTGTTACATGAACTCTATCCTCCAAGTGCTTGGGTGTGTGTTGGGACCTCGTTAGAAAGCTGCAGCTTAGGGGTGCCTGTTAACTACTTAGATAATGTACTGTCAGATTCTACAGCCTCAAATATTCATTTTAAAGAAGAAAAATTCAGACTGACTTCCATGAAATGTCATGATGAAGGGTAAATCTTCTCTGTTTCTGATTGCCTGAAGAATTTCTAGTTTGCTTGTTGAGAAATTCTTGTCTGAAGTTTCCTAAGCATTCCATAGTTTTATATCCCCAAACTCTGAAAAACAGTGCTACTGAATTTTCCAAGCTCTGAAGTATTTTCAGTAGAATTTTGTCGGTTAAGAGGCGATCATTCTGTTTATTCTTAAACCCTTGCTAAACCTAGCTGTTCTTCTTTGTCGGTGCAGGCATTTACATCAATTTAGGGAATGTTTTCTACACCTGGAGCTTAACCTTCGACCTCTGACCTCCAGCCAATCAGTGCCAGGCACCCGCAGACAGATGGAGTATATGAGACAGACAACTATTGAGTGTTTTGAGGTTGGTATCTTGGTCGTTGTCAAATTCACATTAGCTATTTAAATGTTCTAAGTCTGGGCCACAATTTTTAAAAATCTTCCAAATGACTTTGCAAAGTTTAGCAAAAACATGACCCCAGCTTATTTACTCCTAAACAGCCACAGGACAGCATTTTGGGAAAATCTTACTCAAAAATCTGTACTTTGGAATAATTTTACAAAAACGGCTCTACTTCAGGTATGCAAAGGTAGCTCATTAGTCTTGACTAAATTTGAAAATTTCTTCCACAAATGAAATTTCTTGGCTGTGGTGTTTTTTTTCAGGAAGTGCAAAAACCCAAGGGTGGGATGAGATCAAAGGGCCGCATCTTGCGCCAGCCGGGAACCTCCTACGGCGGTCTGAGTGGGGGCGCCGACGAAACCATGGACCCGTCAAAATACAAAGACCCCCGGACTGTTGGGAACATTTTGTGAGTGCCAGACAGTACTGCATTCGGGCTCAATTGAGTGTCGTCAGCTCAGAAGATGTAGATACCTCATTTTAATTATGTGAACCTCGATTTACCAAAGCCTCTGTTTAGGGATCGACTGTCACCGTGGGAGCACGCCGCATTGTAACTGGCTATGCCCGTGTGTATACAATCACCTGCTAATCCAGGCACCTGTTCTGAGGACAGGTAACAACAAATTGGGACGAGCAGAGCTTGAATGTTCTGCTTTCGTCATACTGGTTTAAGAGGAAATACTGCCTCAGATAGAGGTGCCAGTTTTATTTTTCCTGGGGGGGGGAAACAGGTGGATTTTAACCTTGGCTGGGGACAGGGAGGTGTATATATAATAGTCCTACATCAAGTGTGCTTTTTGTTTTGCTGGTCAGTCCTCTGTGCCACGAGCTGCATGTCCTGTACCGCGTCATGTGGTCAGGGAAGTGGGCCATCGTCTCGCCCCACGCCATCCTGAGTAGCGTCTGGCGACTCATCCCATCCTTCCGGGGCTACTCACAGCAGGATGCTCAGGAGTTTTTGTGGTAAGCTCAGTCCCATGCCAATCAATTAACACTCTTGGAGCCTTGCGACGTGAAATTTCAACACATTTGAGCGCAGCTACCGTTTCCTGAGAGGAGCACAAAAACCATCAAAATCGATGCTTGTGACGGATATTATTTATAAAACCTCACTATTATGTTATTTTGCCAATACACTAAAAACAATAAGGTTGATTCACAATGCAGCGCGCCACCACAAGTTTGCTGCAGACAGGCTAGTTTTCAAGGGCTAGCAGATTTGGGAAAGTATGCTGCCGCGATAGAGTGCACTTTGTTCGTGATTTGGGATATTTGATTGATTGATTGATTGATTGATTGATTGATTGATTGAGGTGTTCCCTGTACCACACAAAGCCATCATTTGGCATGTTTGGACTACACACCCATTCGCAATAAGCAATTTCTATTTTTCGACCAAGATAAACATTCAGGAAAAATGTAATTTTTCCATGCAGTTAGCGAATGAGACATTTGTTGACTAAATGTCCCATAATGCACTGCGAAGGGGCCTCTCCCTAACAACCCCTTGGTGGCGCACTGCATTGTGAATCACCCGTATTACAAGCAGGGACAGCAACGACAAGGGAGAGACAAAATGGCCACATTGGCAAGAGCCAGCAAAAGCGAAATTATCAATGTGGGCCTGAGACCTGCTGACCCATATGGGGTCATGAAAACAACATAGAAAGAAAATTTTAAAAATTAATTTAACCTTGAAATGAAATGTGGTCATGATGTAGCAGAAAGCAGACTTAAGTAGCAAGTTCAACTACATTTGAGTAACATGTACCTTATTCAAAGTGAAGTCGGCACACTGTGTTCTTGTATCATTTTGCAGCGAGTTTCTAGACAAAATTCACACCGAGCTGCAGTGTGTTGCCTTGTCACCCTTAGTGCGCATAGCCAGTGGGGCATCCGTCCCAACCAAGGACATCATCGGCCAGAGCTTTGAAGGTGGACTGGTTAGTCAGGTCACCTGTCTTCAGTGTCTGCAAAAGTCCAACACCTTTGAGCCGTTGGGAGACTTGTCCTTGGAGTTTCCTGAAAGGTACACACAGATAAACGCAGCCGGATTCAACTTCAAAGGTAGCAGAATCCGTCGCTGCAGAACGGAGAGTGTAACACTTTCCTGACGCTAATATGTTGACTATCCTTCCTCAGAGATGTTCAGAGAGAGAGTTGCGACATGAGTATCTCAATTGTTGGCACCAAAATGGTGGATTACATGTAATTGCACATGGACAGTTAGCACACAATAGCTGCATGCAGTGTGATGATCAGCCGTTTTGGTTCCAAAAATTGTACATTTTCACAATTTCGCTGGTGCAGCTCTGGTATTGATTAACGTCTTATGGCCGTTTAAATTTGAATTCCTCCACACTACTCACACTCAGCTACTCACACCCGGCCACTCACACTCGGCTACTCGCAACTGGCTACTCACACCCAGCCACTAACACCCAGCTACCACACACTACTCACACGAGGCTACTCACACTCGGCTACTCACACTCGGCTACTCACACTCGGCTACTCACACTCAGCTACTCACACTCAGCTACCCGCACGAGGCTACTCACACTCAGCTACTCATAATCAGCTACTCACACGAGGCTACTCACACTCAGCTACTCACACTCAGCTACACACACTCGGCTACTCACACTCGGCTACTCACACTCAGCTACCCATGCACAGCTACTCACACTCAGTTGTTACGTCGGTGTATCTGTGTGAGCTGTGCTCGTTTGAGTGAGACTAACGAGGCGTTGTGTGCCTCGCGGGCACCTGTGAACAGTAGTTCACATCCTGTAGGTTGTGAGGATATTGTGCGGACTTTGTTAATTTTCCCCCTCTCTGAAAGCCAGTTGGAAGGGATTGTTTGGGTGAGGGATCTAACTGTCGGAGCGTGAGAAAGGATAAGGAAGCTATCTAAAAAAATTCAAAGTTGAAGAGTGTTGACATTGTGATTACAGTCCGCTTTCTTTTCACCCAATCCAAAGCAAGGAGGGTCCACGCTTGGTGTCTGTTGACAACATTCGCCTCTTTGCATTGTTGAAATTTAGATACCAGTTCAGCGAGTGGCGGACCAGTCTCTCGGAGTCCAACTGCCACCTGACAGAGATGCTGGCCAAGTTCACGGAGCGGGAACACCTGGGGAGGGTGTACTCCTGTGAGTGCTGCAATGGTCGGCGTCGGAACGCTGCGGCAAAGCCTGAGGTACGCACAGATGCCACAAAGAGACTGCTGCTGACCAAACTGCCACTGGTACTCCGTCTCCACCTCAAGCGATTCAGGTACTTATTTGCGTTTACCAGCACTATAGTCGAGACCTCTTGAAACTTTCACGAGACCCTGCCAGACCGATGACAAGACGTCCAGTCGGAATGAAAGTCGTAAACTGTTCAAGATGGACTGACACAAAAGCATTCCTTTGTCACTGTTCACCCTGTTGACTTGTCTTGTAGTGGTCTCAACTGTTTCTATCACTGTTTCTTGTTGGTGGACCTTGTCAAGCATATTCATGTTTAAGAGGCACCTTCTAATTGGTCAATTTTAATGTTTCATGTACTTGGTAGTAATTTTGTCGGGAACCAGTCACTGCCCTGAAATGGGGAGTCAAGTTGGCATAGTGGCACCTTCGTCACCCTCCAACTCTTGGGCTTGGGTTCGAATCCCACCTAGGTCAGCACATGGATTGGGGTTTTGGCCCTTACCTGATTCCTTGCATTTTCCCTTGAATGTTTCTCTCCCACCTCTAAAACTGAGCCTTTTTCATTGTCGTCTTCATCATCACTCATAATCATCCTATAAATAAAAAGTGAACAGCAAAAAGTTTGCCTTCCTTGACGGTGAGTGCACTTAATTCCCCGGCAGGTGGTGCGGACGGAACCACCGCGAAAAGATCAATGTCCATGTCAACTTTGAAGAGGAGCTCAACATGCGTCCCTACTGCTACGTCGGCAAAGAGGACGAGAGCAGATTAACCAACGAGGACTTTGTCTACGACCTGACCAACGTTGTTGTACACCACGGCAGAGGGTAACACATTGCGTTATAAAGTTTACGGATTAGGAACCGTCGGCGATCAAGCAGTTTGGCAGCTGCTTCAAGTCAGATTTGCAGTCACTTAAGAAATACAAAGTCCAGACTAATGTTTAAGGTGATTTGTGTCGGAATCATCCAAGACATTCACAGTTCCATTTGTTACTGTTTAAAGAAAAGCTCCCCCCAGCACCTCACCTTTTTGTTCCTCTGTGGTTTCTTCATTTTTTGGCCCTGTTTCTTTTTTAGGTTCGGATCGGGGCATTACACGGCATACTGCTGGAATTCTGTCGGAGGTAAGCCATGTCCAGATCATCCGGCTACGGCTGATATTAACACACACATCAATGGGGAAATGGCCTCAGCCACCTGCTCGTGGCATCCTACACCGTCTGTGGCTTTCATTTTGTACAACAAGCTCTCCCTCGAAGGTTGTACGTACACAACCCAGCAGTTGCTTTTAATATTGGTTGCCAGATTAGATTAGAGAAAAAGCTGACGGCAGTTCTGGGTTGAAACACTCTGCTTCAAAATTAGCCACTCATCATACACGTCAATTTCTTCAATTGGTCGGTGTGCAGGTTTCTGGGTGCATTGTAACGACGCCCGCTTAGAACTCTGCTCCATCGAAGATGTGACCGCCTGCCAGGCATATATCTTGTTCTACACCAAGAGGACTTCCACAGTTGCCCACGTTGGCCAGCCGAGGGACTCGACGACAGAGGAGGATGAAGTGGACGGCCCCTCACGACCAGTAAGAAAGAGACGTTTCACTTTGTGAGAAATGGAAATCAGTTAGAGAGACAGGGTACAAGACCTGGTCATTAAAGAGTACTGATAAATATGTCCTTGATGTTACCACTTCATTTGCATTACTGCCAGGGTTATTGATGACATTTGAAGGTGTGTTGTTAATGGTAACCATACACTCAAAGTAGACATTCCAAAATGAAACCAGCCCAAAAATAATTCCTTACTTTCGGTCCACGTGTGTTGTAACTTTTGATCAAAACTGCACAGAACCTGCAATAGTTAACCTTGCCACTGTTACCATTCACTGCCCAGTGCAGTGACAGCCCATCCTAAATACTGCCCAGGTAACAGTCACCAACAGAAAAAAATTGAATGGGATAGCAGATTCATTTTTGACGATATGGCGTACAAAATGGATATTTTCCAATAGATTAGATACGTGCGTCTAGAAATACCTAGGACGTTTCTCTGTTTCAGCATATTTATGTCAACTTTGTAGGCCATGTGGCTGATCAGTTCTTTTTATGGCTTGCATGAACCCTAAAGGAGCTGTTTTATTTTAGACCATCTCACAGCTGGGGGGGTTACACTTCCCCAAAGTACTGTCCCATGCCTGATTTATGTTTTAAGAAAAAATACCATTATTTTGGGATATTTCAAGGTGGCGCAAAGTGAGGCTTTCCGGTCGAAATCAAAGTACTAAAGCATACTTTGGTAAGCGAGCCAAGCAAAATTTTTATCCTGATTTCTTTTATGAGTTTGGAGCGGAGTGGGTATTTTTGTAATTGATATATCTTGTCCAGAACATTTCTCAGGAATAAACAAAATATTATGATGCCTTCGTGTATATACGGTACATGTATGTGACAATCCTAAAATGAACACGTCAGCAATTCTGTGTGATCGACTTGTCAAAACAGTGTGACGACACCGAACACTTGGTGGAAACGTGGGATGAAATGTATTCTCTCACACGGGGATTCGCTCCAGTGAACATTAAATACACCAACTCTGCTATTATTTTGTAGCATAAGCATTCAATTTTATTCCGACTTATTCGTTTTCCCCTTAATTATGACTTTGCAAAGTAGCTTTGTTGGATAAGTTAACCTCGCGTCCTTATCCCCCATTAATACGGGCGTTTCACTGTAGTGAGCCACCAAGAGTTTGCAACGCGTTGGCCAATCAAAGTGTGTCGACCCTTTCCAAACGCGCATTGCCGGTCGACACGTCCGGACGAACGTGCATTGCGTACAGTGGCCACCGCGTTGCAAACTCTTGACGGCACATTATTTGGAATTACATTCGAACGCAAAGACTAATCCTGGCTTCAATATACCAAACCTCATAACTTAATGAATTGGGTTCGGCTAATTCGGTATGGCTTATACCACAATAGGTGCATCTTATCTGATCTAGACTGGCAGGTTGTGAATGGGTTGTGTTTATAAAAACTGGAATTTGCTACTGCTATTTTCAGCCTTTTTCTCTTATTCCTACGAATAGCAATGAAAGCAAAAGCTTAACTCTTAAATCCATTTGCTAAGACCAGAAAATATTTACCCCGTACTTTTCTTCTTTCTACAAGACCATTAGATTTGTTTGGGATTATACCAATAAAAAGAGGTGGATGCTTACCATTCCAAGTGTTTGCTTGTCGTTTTTCAAGACTAGGTCAGCCCAACCTCGGAAGTGGATCGTGAAGCAATGTCCAAATGTGAAAAAATGGCAGCGTTTTAAGATGAAGTTGGGAATTGGGAAAGAATTTATAGTTGCAGGAAGGAGTATCAACGGAGAATCAAGTAACTACCGAATTGAGGACTGTGACTTCGTCAGTCACTTGTTGCTGTCTAACTACAGGGAAACCTATGCGCCCAACCGTGTCTTCCCCAGATGACGTCCCAGCAATAGACAATATTAATTGTTTAAAAGGAGTTTGTTTGATATATTTAACTCAAAAGGATAGAACTAACTCTTGCGCACTTCAGATGCAGAAAAATTATGCCTAAGAAAAAAATCATTTCCGCCACCCTTTAAGCAAGCATTTCCCCACTGTTCGGACTACACACCCCTGTACCAAGGCCTTTAAAAGTAAATCATCTCATGTTTAGAGTGTGCCGGTAATGCATTACGATAGGCACATGAATTATGTAATAGCTTCAGCGTATTTGGGGTCTTGGGCTTAAAGAACGCAAAACAGAATTTAGTTGAGCTGGCTTGCGTAGTGAAGTGGATAGCGAAAAGAAGTAGTAAGAATTTCCGTGGTTTCGTGTGTACAAAGTCTGTGGCCGGTACGTCACTTCGTGGCGTTGACCTGTCAACAGATCCATCTGGAAACTGTTAAAGTGACTTTCAGTAATAGAAAATGCAATAACGTCGCTCAGTGAGGTAGAACACACAAGCACAAGGGGAGAAAACGTGGCTGTTATGAAATTGACAGTGGCTTTAATATGGAGGGAGGAAGGAAATCTACGCCTAACTGTTAAAACAGGAGTTCGGCTGCACCGGATGTCAGGAAACACGCAGTGACAGCATGGTACTTGTTTGTGTCAATTGTATTTTGGCCACTGCACTGGATCAGGTTTATCTCAACAAAACGACGACCCCAACTTAGTGGCCTACGCAGTCTGGAGCATAATTCTTTCCTGTAGTTTGTCGGTCTGCTTTGCCTCCTACCACGTTGCTGAGAGGCACGACTGCTACCGAAAATGCTTCCCAAGAACACGACAACGACAGCAATGGCCATGCTACCGGAGAAGAGCCTCGCGCTCTGCAGTGGAAAGAAAGATACTGAAGTGGTTTCCATGGTCGAGGATAAAGATCTCCAGGTGAGTGGGCTGTACACCATGGAGCTATAAACCTCTGTGCTGCACCTCAATTTTGCCTGGTGAATCTTGGTTATTTAGTGACGAGTTACGGTACGTTAAACTCACTTTAACGAACGAGAAAAGGCCATCTGACCCACCTTTACGAATTTGACATATATTTACATGTACATGAGTAACATCAACTGTTTCTTCATATAACGAGTTTTGCCCTTACCCAACGTATATATTAATAAACGCTGTATGCTCAGTGCTTGTCCGAGAGCTTGCGAAAAAAGTCACAAGCTTACTCGGATGGGACTGTTTCCAAACGAATAGTTTTGTGAACACCAAACCACCGACTTTCATTTTAGTCCCTCTTTCCTTGTTTTTTCCATGTTAGGTCTCTGCTGATTTCGACCGTGGGCGAACCCGCCGCGCAGTAATCTGTTCGTGCGCAGTCGTGCTGACGACGCTTATCCTCGTCGCCGGTGCCCTGGGCGCCGTTGCTATCGTCATTACGCAGAGCGACCGGGTTACCACCGTCACCGGCCCTTCTCGCGGGTCTCCTCTCGACAGGAACTCGCTCGCCGAGATCCCTGCGACGCCACCGCGCGTCAAGATCGACAACGGCGGTCTCTGGCCGCCGGGGCCCCCGACTCCCGACCGCGTGACCGTAAACGGCAGCAGTGCCGACAGTGACGACGAGGACCTGGTAGTCTCCGGCTCAAGCGGTGAGGGACCCACCCAGTTGGCCATCTTCAGTGAGCAGAGCGGCAGCGTAGATTACCTCTCGTCACAGAGACAGTCTTCCTCAGACTCTGTTGTCAGATATTTTTCAGACATGTATTATGACAGTTGGTGATTTTAATACTAGAAACGCCGGATTGGTTTTATTGGAGCCCTGCGTAAAAAAACACAGAATCCCACACACTGTGCTCATTGTGTGCTGAAAAGACCAAATTTTGATGAACTGTCCGCTCAAACAAACAAAGTCTAACAGAACAAAACAGACAAAACAAAAACCGAAAGGTTTACAGATTAAAAGCAATAGGCACCACGGTCGTTTTAGTATTTTTCTGGATGTAAAATTATAGGAGAGAATTTGCTCACAAATGAGTGTCGGTCGAATGCTCTCTTTTTGACTGTAGAGGCTTTGCGTGGTAGACATCTTGCAGGGTAGTTCTTTTGCTCAACCGAAATACCAGCTATAAAGTTATGCATACCCAGTGGAACACAAGCACTGGACAACAAGATGGCAGCAAGGCAAACCCTCTGTAGCTTAATCCACAGATATTGGCATGGTATTGACCAGAATCATGCCGTCGTAAAACGAAATCAACTTTACTTCTATTGTAGTGGTGTTATTCATGGCGGCATTTTGTAGTCATGCCACGAAGAAAATGGCTTTTTATCAGTTTTAGAGTCAGTACCAAGGAGGTAGGGAACAGGAAATGTTGTTAGAACCTAACTCTTTCAATCACAGTTGTCCTAATGTGTCATAAACTGCTTTGCTAGCAAACTGACGTATCGATAACTTGGTTTTCTGCTCCAGTGTTATTGTTACTGGTTGTCCACACTTGTAACTATTGTTGCCTTCATGCAAAGCATTCTTCCGCTCGAAATGACATTCAAGGAAATTACCTCATCCTATTGTGCATTAAAAAAAAACAGGAAAATGAAGTCGGCAGCGTTGGACTCTATCCAACATGACACTGGCCACCCGCCAATTGATCACAAGAGGGCGCTGTGCTGCTGACTCAATCAGTCCCAGTGTTTTGGTTTCAATGAGGGATTTGTGATAACTTACTTAGCTACTGTTTGCAACATTAAAAGAAAATCAGGATATCTAATTATGATGTGTGTGTTCATATCCTGATTGTTATTAGCGTTTCGATGTCGGTACTGTGCGTTACGATGAGCCGAGACTTTTTATAGGAGTCTTTTTGTGGTTAGGAAAAACAAAACCGGTCTCTGCTCCAGAACTGATGCAGCGATGCGCTTTTTTGTTTTCGTTTTTGGGGGGTAGGGTTGGTTTTTTAAGACTGGCAACGTACACGGAAATGATATGCATATTTAATCAAAGACCAAAGGCTAGTAGTGGCGCGTTGCGTACTTCGACCATGCCGCCATTGTTGCTGATCAGCTGGCTGCAACTTTGTAACCTACCCATGGTTGGCTGTTTGTTTTCGACATCAACAATTCTTAGTCGTAGCGGATTTATCACCAAAAATCTACCCACGAATTAATCTGATTCCTTGAACAAATTGCCCTTCCAACTTGTGGTTTTGTGACCGGGAATCAGTCGACTTGCAAACATTCAGGCAGTGCGGAAATAGAGGGCGCTGTTTTGAAAATTTTGAGGAAAAAATGGGGAAAAATTGATGAGCATGCACAAAATGGACGCGCGCGCTGACCAGAGACCGACTATTTTTTTTTATTTTGGGGGGGCCTTGCTTTGGACTTGACCAAGTCGGGATCCTCTGTGACGTTGTCTGCGTTATTCTTTGGATATGGAGGCTACGCTACGTACTTGCTTCGTGCCCTCTTGTGTCCACTTATTACCGGGAGTTCGGAAATCCCGACTTGACGAATCAGCCAACTATCCGTTTTGGCATGGCATCTGTTTTTCCGAGACAGGTCAGCCAAAGTGTATGCTTTTCCATTGCCGTGCGCTTGATGATGACACGCTGGCGCAAAACACAAATGTTGCCTTGAACTTCGCTGACCGAAACAGCAACACCGGTACGTCTGATTCACTTGAAACTCCACTTGGTCCGGATAACGAGTGTCTTTCACAGCCATGCCAAAGTACTTGAAGGTGGGGAGGCATCCGCCACCCTCAGCTGTGAGATGGTCCAAAATAACCCGGCCATCCCAAAAAAGGGACGGAGCCTTGTAAACCTATTCATGAGTGACAAATCCTAATCAGAATAAGAAATGGTGACCAGAGCATAGAGAATGGGAGAGATTGGCTCAGTGACTCTATAATTGGCATCTAAAGCCATAGCCATAGCCAGGGTAGGAGACTGACAGCCGAAAGACGACGCATATACACGATCTATCGAATGAAGTGTATCTGCAATGAATGTTTCTCAACTTTGTATTTTTCTTCAGTTTGTACAAAACCCTTTCACTTTCCTATTTGGTCAAATGTTTCGAAAAGTGAAATTTTAAACAATTGAAATTATCCATGCTTCCCAGGACAACTGAGGGCGCTGTTACAGTGAGGTCCTTTTAAGGAGGTTATAGTTCACCACATGGGCTTTTCTGTACAAGTTATGAACCCATGGGTTCTGAACTTACTTACTGAAAACACAGGATTAATGCTTTCTTCTTGCTAATCAAATAAACAACGGTGTATCAGCAAAGACGAGAAAGCTGAGTCTAGCGACATTCTTCCAAAATGCAGGACTTCTTATGTGCAAACCAATTTAACATTTAGGCTTTCTTCCTCGGATGACATCACATGTTTGCTCGTGATTATGCATCAGCATAAAAAACAAACAAAGGTAGTAGAATACCCTTTGAACTGAACAAAAATTGAAAAAAAAATGTAATTGAGGCGCAAAGGTGCATTTGAAGGATTGAAGTTTCTTCGCCGCGTCCCAGACTATCAGAACCATGAAAAAAGGCACGGACAAGCGCAACATAAAACAGGGAAAGAGGAGGGAGCCAGAACCTCTATTTTTTTACTAGTTTGTAAGCGTTTATCTTTACTTTCCCTTAGCCATATTACCTGGAGGTTCCTGGGACAATGATACCATGCTTGGGTCCTAGAGGTAGACCACGGAGATGTATACATGTACCACTGTTTCTTAACCTGATTTGATTCGATCATAGAGAAACACCCAACCCCAGCTGACCTATCACTGCGCCTACCCTTGGCATTGCGCAACAACAAACCAAGATAAGATTTTACAACCCAACAGCTTTTTTTTCTAACAGCAAGTACACGTGTTGGGAAAAAAATTTGGCGCCTTGCACACTGGCCGGGGACCCGTTGGATAGACCTTGAGCTCACGTGTGAATCAACAGCTTTACCGACCCTGGCCTATTCATAATACACCCCCCCTCCTTTCATCCGATGACGTCGTACAGTTAACAAAGACGGCAGGTTCGCGACCTAGGGAAAAAAGTTGGAGCGGATGATACAGTGTGACAGAGTGTGAGCACCTTGCCCGCACCGTAGAGCAAGGACCCACGCGGTGGATCGGGCTGTGGTCTATCAGTATCAGTGAGCACGCTTTGAGACCACTCAGCGGGCGTAGTGTTTGCACGATTTTCGCCGGAGTGGAAGAAACGGAAAGAGGATTAGCTGGGAAATCCGACCGTGTAAACAGGCGCATAAACCCTGAAATCTCCACTTGAAACAGCTTCGTGGAAATCAACGCGGAAAGTCGGTTCATGCATAAAGCCGTTGCCTTGCTCTACGCAAACTGAAGGCCGTCCTCGGCCCTGTCTTAATGTGAACCGTGTGTGTGACTTCAAGTGGGAGGCTTTCTTTACGTCATCACTTTCTTCGTTAGGACGCTCGCCCGTTTTGAGCACTTTTTTTGTGATCATGTTGTGAGTGAGCCCACAGAACAAGGACAAAAAGCCTGCCCTCAGAAGCCATAACTGTTCGTGGAAAACAATCAGCATTATACCTGAAAATCACAGTGCTGTAGGCTGGAGTTCTTTGAACTGGCGGAGCAGGCTGGAACATAGTCAAACAGGTACCCACGCATTCGAGGGGAGTTCACGTGTATCCTGGTGCATAGCTTCCAGTTAACTGATGAAAACTGGAGTCCGATCCGGAAGAACTTTGAAATCATCGGCACGTTGAATCGTTTATTCACCTGTCACCCCGGGTCACGAGTTGGCATTTCCATCAGTTTGTCGGTGTTAGTTCAATCCACCGAGTTGCCAGGAAACACCGAAAGAGATTAGTTTTCATATCAGGCCTTCCTGCAAGATGTTTCCTAAAAGAACAGCTCCAGAAGTGCCGGAAAAGAAAGAGACAACTGTGTACGTCTTCGGGGAGAAAGATGCACAGGTATGTCCGAAGATTCCGTCTTGTTATTTAAGAGTTGAGGACAACGACCCCGCAGTTCTGGGGGTAATGTCACACATCTTAGTTTAGTTATGTACATGAATGTATGTCATGTATGTATGTACAACTTCAAAGCGTCTTTAACGCAGGTCAATGTATACTTTTCTTTGGAAGAATCCGAAACCCAGGGTAAATCATGCCATTTTCCAGTCAGGTCAAAACAGCAGCCAACAAATGCTCAAAGTCAAGGGCATAAAGGAGAGTTACCCCCCACAAGCCTTAATATCGTGTTTGGTATAAATACCTCCTGGGGGTGGGGGCGTGGGGTGGGGGGCTCCATGGTTCTTGTATCGAACAAGTGATTGAGGCTAGGCTGTCGGTAGGTGAGTACAGAAGCGTGATGACACCACCATCGTGGCTCATCGTATTTTTATGTAACTAATGAAAGTTGCAAGCAAACTACTTCCCGCCAGAAATGTACCACTACCAACAGGCCTGTAAATCTGAACTCAGTTCCGCCGTACTCCGCAGAGATGGGTCCTGTACGTCTAGGCATAGTGTGATTGAGCTTCCTGATTGTGCAGTGCTCTGGAGTTTCTCACTTTCAGACCAGCAAACCAGATCAGACCCCTCTTTAGTGTTCCAGGTTGAAACCAATCACTACTCTAACTGTCATAACATGCAAAGTACGTCTGATAGTTCTCAGCTCATATTTAAACTTTGAAACGGCATGATCTACCGAACTGTGTAAAACTTTCCTCTGTCAAGTTTATGGTGAGCAATCATGACAGTGTGCTGTACATCTAGTGATGGGGGATGAGGTTTAGCAGAAACATCCCTGGATTTCTTTGCTTCCTCATGAAACTGTGTATTCTTCGCCTGGATAGGATTGGAAACATCTCAAAATCCACAAAAGAATAACGAGAGTGACCTTGGATCAAATATCATGCACCATCAAAGCATGGGAACGCTGGGGTGCCGTGGGCCAGCTCGCGCGCGGTGCGGCCGTGGTTTTGACATCAACATTCCTGGCTGTCACTGACAGGTGGGCTTTCGCTCCCGTCTCCCTTGCCCCCACAGCTCTGGCAAGTCTCGTTGGTGGTGAAACGGGTCAGTGGACTTTTCGGGGAGGAAGTGTACCAATCGATATTCCCGGGGGGCCACGGGCCGGTTTTGTCTTGCTCCTAGGCCTAGCCGTCTAGTAATAAGTGACCAAACCTTTTCTATCAACGTGGATTTCTCTGCGTTCTTTGCTTTGGTTTCTCCCATTGCTTCAGCACGGAAAACAGAGCATGCGTGTTCAGTACACTGCAAAAACTGGGGTGTTAAATTTAACACCCACGGTGTTATACACCAACACTTTTCAATTTGGGTGTTTTTTGGGGTTACTTGTAACACCTTCTAGTGCACTGTAACTCTAATAGGTGTGCAAAGTAACATTATCGGCGTTAAAGTAACACCCTATGGTGTGGTCATCTGATAACACCCAAAAGTATTAATTTTATTACACCCGAATTTTTACAGTGTACAAAACTATCCCTGCAGTCTGAAACGATGCCAATAATGGGAAGATTTCATGTTTGTATGGGCTAAGCTCCCTCGGCTAAAAAAATCTGCAAAGTTAACGGGACGATTGGAGCCGAAATTCTAGTCTGAGTAGATTCATTTTTGGTGCCCAAGATGTTTCTTTGATACATAAATGAAGTCACAAAGCTGCGTCAATGACGTGTTACTTCCTAAAAATGAACTCAGCCGTGATTTCCTCTTTCACCCCCCATCAGCCATTTTGTCTTTGGCTTCAAATCTTGCCATTACCGGTCGGTAGCGGACTTGCGCTTGACAAAATAATCGTTTGGTACTGGCATGACTTTAACCCATTGTCCGTTGTCAATTCCATGGCGCCTTGTTAGCTTAATTCACGAGAATTCTGCAAAGCTGAGGGCTTTTCGTTTGCTATTTTGGCTTCATGGACTTGTGAAATTTTTATGGGTGTGTAAAACATTCATTGGGCCCTCCGCCAAGTCCTCTTCATTTAGATTGAAAATAAACAGAAGCGAGCAATGTTTGACCGTTGGAACAGCGAAGAGTGATAAATTAGTTCCAAATTGTCTTGACATAATAAATTGATGCGTTTCAACCCAGTTTCAGCAGGCGCCGACGTCCGGAAGTGTCTTGTTCCAATCTACATTGATGTCAAAATTAGTTTCAGCGACCAGTCATATCCCACTTCATATCACAGCACATCACCTCTCCTAAAGGTTGAGGAAGTAGTCAGTAGTTATTTCAAGTATTCGACATGTGTCATCGTCACCCTAACGCGTTTTATGTTTTACAGTAAACCAAACATTAGTGCGAGACCAGTCACCTAGATCTGGCAAATAAATTGGCCGTCGGAATCCTTCTGTGTAGCCCATTCCTAATCGGACATAGGCTAGGAGGAAAAACAGAAGTGCGTGAAAAGGACATGCATGTTATCGCGCGATAATCCGCTGTGTCTCCACTGTCAAGGCCCATAATCTAGTGTAATTGTTGCTTATCTCAAGCTGGCGAGATTAGGACAAACTGCAGGTGGCATGGAGTCCACGAGTATGATAGATGACCAACCATTATTCTCTTGTCTTTCCCGGATCTTTCATCCTTCTCTCCACTTGTAGCCGATGTCCACTTGTGCGGTGCTTGCACTTTTGTGCTGCGATTTTAATAGGGCAATTACATCAGTAATAATGATCGGTCCTCGAGATATACAGCTTCACAGTTCTACTGTATGGTAACCAAAAAAACCGATTTGAAAAAAATACTTACGAAAAATTCGTCTATATTTGAAAATGAATTGCATCAGAGGCAGTGAGTCGTAATGCATTAAAATCATTCGTTACAATTGTGTGATAGGCTGCATTGTAATCTTCCGTTGCTCCAGTTGGAAAGTATTCTTGAGACCTTCTCCGAAAGAAATTGACGCGATTAGCCCGTACGGTTTATTACAGGGCCACGCTTCGCGATTTGGCTGCCAGTTTGTTTTCAAACCTTGTATTTTGGACCAGATTATCAGCGGAGGAATGCGAAAGCGTATTTGCAGATTTGGGGCCCTCGTCGCCCTACATAATACAGTAGACTGTCACCTATGGTTCGATTCAAGGCGGGAAGTTTACTGTACACACACGCCGGAGTCACAAGCATTAAACCGGCAGTAAAGATGTGAGTTTTAATGTTCACCATATAGAACCACAGATGTATAGTATTTAATGCTCGTTTATTGCCTGCGTATCTATGCCAAACAGCTTGTTGATCGTGTAGGTTGTGGCCCTTGGCAACATTACGTTCGAATCGATCATTCAAAACATCTGGTCTGAGCGTTATGAGCCAACAGGGAAATACACCAGAGAACGTGTCACTTGTTGCTTCGTCGTGCTCACTTCTTTCGCCGGTTCTTGGGTTGGTCAAGGCTCTTTCTTCAGTGCTGTTGATTCGGTTAGAGAGGTCTGTGTGCTCAATACGCCTGATTTGCAATCTCTCTGTAATTAGGGAATGGATTTTTTTTAAAGAAGGAAACTCCGGAAGTCCATGATTCGTTGATTTCAAGGAACGATGGAGACCTTCGACCAGCGGGCAAGCCATTGGGTCATTAACAACAGGCGCGCTGACGCCATAGCTGACAAACTTTGACTTCCTCAAGGACGATCGACGCATACATGTACTGTACATTGTACGTGTACTTGCTTGTACCATGGATCTGTGTATCTGCGATTGGATACGTTCGTAGAAACCTTGCGCGCAGATACCACAAATGATTTGCAACAAATCTGGAAGACAGTTTTTGCTTTTGCAATTTCCTTGACTGCAGAAAGAGCTGGCGTGTACGTACATAACGTGCGTATCCTTGAAAGACAAACGCACAAAGCACAAAGGTTGGTGCCACGGCGTGGATCTCCTAGTAAAACTGGCCAAGTGTTTTTACAAGTGTGATCTTTTGTGGAAGTTAAGAGCATAACCGGCCAGACAATTGTACCATGTCGAAATAAAAACCATGATTTCAGTATTACCGGGAGTATGTTGAGCTATCCTGAGGGACTGTATGTGAACTATGTTTCGACGAGTATTTTTTGTCATTTTCGCTCGACTCTTGGCAGATGAGGAAGGAACAGTGTCACCTCTAGTTTTCATTCTCTTGTTTAAAAGGCGAGAGTTGCGCCTCTAACGATTCAAAATGCACAAAAATAAAATCTGGCGAAACATAGCAGTACATGTAGTAGATGGGAGAAATACTTGCACCAAGTTTTGGTCGACAGGTGGTATATCTTGCCCGTCGCCTGCAGTTGTCACCTTCCGCCGAAATAGAGCCCTGCTTTATCGAGAGTAGCACAAGGGGCCATCAATCTTTTCAGCTCGACCGCAATTATTATTATTATTTGTCCGCGGGCGAAATATGACATCGCTGGGAACATATCCCCGGGGGAGTTGATCGGCGACCTTGGCTGAACTCTTGCCGAATTCGGAAAGCCATGGGTCCTAGACTTGGTACAAGCCGGTAATTGGTTTGGTTTTATTCTCCGCGCGCACTCGCCACCATCTTCACAATCTACGCACGTATCTATCTTGGCACGGGGACCAACTTGCGGCTAATTGACCGCACATCGAAACTCTGCCAATTAGGTTTCACGATCATACTAAAGCTGCGTCGATATGACTAAAGTTCGTGGAGAGATTACGACCATCTTATGACTTGTAATCGAGTCTACTCTGGGTCACGCTTGGCGGGCAGGCTAATTAAGTTTAGTTGTAATGCCAATGCATAATGTTGTGACGGAAATTGTAATTTAGAGATGCATTATGGGAAAGAAAAATATATTAATCTGATTTTTAGAATACCGACGATTTTTGAGCATGCTTGAGGCATGGTCAACGATCAATTTACTGTGGTCATTCGAGGCAGGTGACGTGGGACTTCGTTCTGACACTTCTTTCCGCAGATGGAGACCATAATTTATTTTTAACAAAATACAGAC